CTTTCCTTCCCCCTCCTGACAGACCTGTATCCAGCATTCAGCGTCGTAAAGTTGAAACCCATGTTGGAACTTTGAAACCCAGGTGTCAATTTACAAATGTCATAACTGCGGTTTGTCATAACTCAAACAGTCATAAGTCGATGACTGCCTGTTGTAGCTAAAAGCCCCAGCCCATCATTGCAGACATTGTAAAATGCACAAAAGAATGATAGTATTGTCCCAAAGAACTTCCATGAATGTACTTCAGGAAGGAAGAAACTATTATATGTAATTGTAAAATGTGTATTAATGCACTAGAGCTTTATACAGCTATCTTGAAAAATTGTGCAGTACTCTAATTACAGTAGTTGGAATGAATCTTAGATTGTGAAAAGCAAGGCTTTTGTATTTCTCTGGTTATTTTGTAGAGCAAATGATCTGCTAATCTACCTATAGTCTCTCCTTTCTTTTTTAATGAAGATCCACTGGAGCAATAACATAGATATGCAGTTAGATTTGAACTGGCAAAAGATTAAGGAAAGAGATGGGAATGAAAATTTCAGAAATTTTGAAGCTATAATATTAAATATTCTCTCTTAAATTATTCATAGAATCACAGGAAGCTTATATTTGCCTTCATTAAATCAATCTTCCAAAGTCAGATCCAGAAAATCATAGGTTTACTCATGCAGGCATATGATCTTCCTCACGGAGATACTTCAATCTATCCAAAAACCAAAAGAGTTATTTTGAATGAGTAGAATTTTGTGGGGTTGGTCTGAAAAGAGTAACTTTTTTTGTCAGAATGACTGAAACTTTTTATACAGTTTAGTAGGGACTGGGACCACAAAGTTGTTCTACATAGTATAATGATTGGTGAGTTCTTAGAGGTTGGTTGATAATAGAAAACTCTTGATAACTAGGTTGCAGCCATAAGTGTTTGGTTTATGTGTATGTTCAGGATGATACTTCTCACTTGGCAATTTAATCTTCATGTCTCTTTCAATTTGGAAAATACCCTTGTAATTTTATTATAATAAAATAAATTTAGGATTATTTAAAACAAACAACCCCAACCACATTTAAAGCCCTGAACTCTATACTGGCTTTGGGGTCTCATAGCATTGTTGCTAATCTATTGCAATGGTTTAGAAGTGCCACCTGATGCTTAGATAATCCTGTGGACTGGGCTGCTGTGTTGATACCTGTTTACCCCATCGCAAGGTAGATTTCTGTCTGGTTAGGGTAGCCCACTGAAGAGTTGCCTCAATAATGAATTTTTGCTAAGGCCTCTCTCTCCTTTTCTTGTTCGTTGTCAACAATCCTTTCAGAAGTTCAAAATAAACATTTGACTCTCTTCTCCTTTTCTTCCAGGATCACCTGATATTCCTTCCCCATGAATAGCTTGCACATGCTGGCACTCCTGTTTCTTTGCACCTCCAAAAACAACATTGAGAATTTTCATGCTTACTCCTTACTCCAAATGGAAGTTTAACTTGCTGTTGTCTTGCAGGTAGTTGGTGGCAAGGTAAAAAAACCAGGCAAGCGAGGTCGTAAACCAGCCAAAATAGACTTGAAGGCAAAACTCGAGAGAAGTCGTCAGAGCGCAAGAGAGTGCAGAGCACGAAAGAAGCTGAGGTACCAATATCTGGAAGAACTGGTGTCAAGCAGGGAGAGAGCCATCTGTGCGCTCAGAGAAGAGTTGGAAATGGTAAGGGTGTTTCCTTCTTAACTTGACTTCTAGACTGGATCCTGCTAGCACTGAAGTTATGAATGTTTGCCATAGAGATTGTGGTTAGGCTATAACTTGTCCAAATAGTAAGAGCAAACGTGTTCATTGCTTGCCTGCTTTGCATCTCAATAGTGATTCTTGTAGCATGAGGGATTTAAAGGATTAGTAATATTTGTTGTCTTTGAACTAAAAATAAGTAAGCAGGGTGGTTTATTTGTCCATAAAACTGGCATCTTAGAACATATAAGAGCTGCCACTTACTGTTGAGACCATAGATCTATCTTGCCCACTGTCCTGTGTCACACAGTGGCAGAGTGGATGCTGAAAGGGAGAGTGAACAGGGTATGACAAGGCTCTTTTTCCACTCTTCTTCTCACTTGCAACCTCCAGCATTTATCGGCTAGGAAGTTCTGATTCAGAGGCTGTACCCTTTGACATTTCATTTCTTATATTTTAGAAATAGCCTGATGTAAGGGTTAGGGGAGGCAGGGAAATATTAAAATAGAGATCTGTAGCTTGCAGATGTATTTGGCCAGCCTTTGGTTTGGTGCATATGCTGCCCCCTCCTCCCCCCACTATGCACAAAACCTTATTTACAAGGCCATGTTGCTTGCTGCTCATTTGTCTGATTTTTCAGTATGCATGAACTAGGTGCCTGTACATTTTTGCAGGCATGATAGGCCGTGTTGGCACAACTGCACAGGCAAATAGGTTAGAAATATAGACACCTAAGCCACCAGAACTCCCATGGAGCTCAGTATATAAATTGCTTTTGAGGAACTGGGACTTGGGTTATAGAAGGATGTACTGATTGTATTGATATTAAAGGGTATTGTTATGGGTAACAGTACAAGCTGTTACGATGTGACTTACATCTGTATGATACAAGTGTATCCTACTTCATTCAGGGCAAGGTCAGGATGTTTTAGTTAACTTGTATTGCTACAGGGTAGCACAAATGTAAAAGTTGAGCATAAGGATTTCTGGCCTGACCCCCAAACATCCTATGTTCTGTAGTTTGCCAATGAAGATGCGGAGGCTCAAAGGGGCCTGCAGAGCATCAGAAA